AATTATAAAGGAATCAAAAGCTTGAAGACAGTTCTCTATCAAAAACAAAATGACTTTAAACAAACTAATCATACATACACTGTTTTAGTAGGAAATATTTGCTCTTACATACGGTGTATTTGAAATAATTTTTGCTTCTACTTTAAGAAGTTTTTTTTGGAACTAAAATTCATCCAAAATGAATTGGTAAGTCTCTAAAAGATCATCTCATAAATCCTAAACTAGAAGTTCTAAAAAAATTTCAAACTCGTATGCATAAAGAATAATGTCTTTAAATTTCTACAATCTATTTAAAACGATTAAAAAAAACTGAACATAGTTTCTATTTTTTTATCATACATTGTACAAGATATGAACAAGAGCAGTATATATACTCACTAATTGAATATGGTCGGTCTTTCTTATTCCGTTGAAAAATCTTTGTTATCCCGATTCACTTATAACATCTCATCATCCAAGAATGAAAGTAAAATCAAATATTCTTGTTTCTTTTTTGAAAATTTGTTCTATTTAAAGATCTTTATCAACAAACATGAGTGAACGACGTCAATCTAAAGTATCAATTAACATGTCAAGTAAGTTTTGTTTAAACAATTTATTAGCTGAACTAAGTACAAATACAAAATATAAAATATATCTTTTGTTAGAAGATAAACAAATCAAAATAAATCTGCATTAAATTATTGATGAATCTTCTATTCATATGTTATTCATTTATGTATCTTGAAACAATCTTCATTTTGATAATTAGGCATGAATAAATGTTTATTTTAAAGATAAAACATTTCGATTCTAATCGAACAAAATTACATAAAATCAAACAGGCATATGAATAACACTCGAATTTTATTCTCTTTTAATATATTCAAAGAGATATTTTTATCTATCATGTAATTAATAATAAAATGACTCATGATTTCTTTCAACCAAAAAGAAAAATGAATTTCCTAAAATCTGTATAGAATTTATCTTTATGTCACATAGTCAATGTTTCATGCATTTTTGTGCTTTAGTGTGGTATAATGTATAATGGATACTAATTTTATTCTATATATGTATGACTTAACTTATATATTCTTAAACTATTTCGGCAAAATCATAGTAAAAAAATATTAAAGTTTTCAAAGAGGCATAGAATAATCCATCTTCTTCATTGATGTCAACTATTTGACTTGTCCTATTAGGTTTTAATTTTTCAGAGAAAAAAACAACATTGTGCTTAAATCATTAAGAAATGATTAAGTATTGATTTTTGTGCCAACGAAACATGATTTCGAAAACAAAAATTCAATTTCTTTTAAAGCAATAATTCCTAATTTTGAATTAACTCAATGTCAAATTTTTAAAAAATTCGAATACAAAAATCATCATAGATAGTCTAAATGATAAACTTTAAGTTTTTTTTTTAACTTAGTTTAGTTCCGAAAAACATTACTAATAGATCTTATTCCTAAAGAATATGCCGAAAGATCTATGATTAACATTTATAAATGTTGCAACAAGATGAAATCTATACAAAATTAGATTTAATGACTCTCCTGTTTCATAGTCGAAAAGTAAATGGTTACGATTAAAATAGTATAAATTACAATTAAACTCGAAAAAACAATAGTATTTATTTACTTACACGCAACAAGCAATAAAGACTAGATTTTAACTCTTCGTTGTAACACTAGATAAGAAAATTACTTGAAATTTTCGAAAGAAGCATTATGAAAGTTTTGACTCAATGGCAACTATTTCTTATTCTAATTGAGATGAAAATTTCAATATTTTTTTTCAATTTTTATAACTGGTATCCAATGAAAATGCATACATTCGAACAGAACATGACTACACAAGTTTCAAGAAAGTATGATATTGCAAAATATTTAAAAAAATATTTAATCTATAGAACTCTATATCTTAATAGAGATATTATTCAGAGGAAATAGCAAAGATTTCAATCGTGAGATTAATAATCAGTATCACAAAGAAGAACAGATTTCAAAACACTGATTATATGACTTTCGAATAGTCTTATACTTATTTTCATTTACTGTTATTTATTTTAAATCAATTTATTTTAGAATATAAATAGTCATTTATGGAATAATTTACGATTAAAACTACTTACTATTAAATAATTGATCAATAGGACGGTGATTAGAATTTTGACAAATGTATGTATGTAAATGAGTTCTTTTTTTTTAAATTTAATATAAATAAAAGAGTTATAATAACTTATGACCTTGATTTAACAATATCAATATCTAAGATTAATAAAAATTAGAATAAAGTACACCAATGGGGTTCAGTGCGTCAAGAAAAATTTTATTTTCGATATGGTTCTAATACTTTTCAGATTTCCATGAATGAAATTATAAATACTAGTATAGCATTAATAAATAGGGATATGTTTATGAAATTTCTATTATTGTGTGAAGGTTATGTTCAAAATGTAAACTTATTCAAAGGAAATTTCTATTTTTGAAAATCTGCTTCCTACTGCGTAAAACACGTGTACAAGGTATTTTTCATACATACTCATTCTGATTCTTTCTTTACATTGGAATATTCTTGACTAAAAGTATGTCTTCTCTTGTTTTCTTTTCTTATTCTCTTTTTCAATCTGATGTCATACATTATGGATTTTTTCAATTTAATTCTTTTTTGAAAGTTTTTTTTATCAACTTATATATATTGTAAATGTGTATTTTAAGACATTCTGAAACGATTTAAAATTCAACGTTCTAGCATTCTACGAAAGCAAATTCGTTGAAACTTTGGTAGATTGTTGTACATATATATAGTACTACTTAACTATAAATTTTGAGATCTATAGCCTGTACTATGAACAACATACCATAACAACACTGACACTGTAGTATTTTTGAAATTTTCCTAGTCATCTTCGAGGTATGCAACATTTTTTTATTTCGTCTATATCTTGGCTTAGGTAAATGATAAAATCTTGAATTTTTCTTTAAAAGATGCACCGTGAAAAGTTCTGGAAAAAAACAGCACAATAACAAATCCCTATTGACTTGTATTAATGACTTCTGCCATACTCATAATGAAAAACCTACATGACAGTACTACTTCTCACCATATTGTGCGTAATAAAAAAAGGTTTGGAAGACTTTTTTGCTTTCCAATAGGAATTTGTTTATGCAGCTTTTGTAGAGGTTTTCGACAATGCATATTTTAAAAAAGAAATCAAAATTTTATCATTTTCTTAAGCTGAAATATATTCAAAACAAAAAGGTCCTTCAAACATTTTTTATTACACACAATATGGTGAGAAGTAGTGCTATCATGTAGGTTTTTCATTTTGTATGTGGCAAAAACCATTAACACAAGTAAATAAGGATTTGTTATTAAAATTTTTGTAGAGCTTTTCACGGGGCATCTTTTTAAAAAAATTCAAGATTTTATCATCTACCTAATCCGAAATATAGATATTTTGGTAGACCCGGAATACAAGAAAATTTTTACAAATAGTACATCATAGTGATGTTACAGGTTCTCCGCTATAGTAGAACCTATAGATGTTAAACTTTGTAGTTATGTAGTATTACATATGTGCAATAATTTATCAAAGTTTCAAAGAGTTTAAGTTTCTTGAATGGGAGAATGATGAATTTTAAAATCGTTTCAGAACTTCTGGGACACTCTTTATATATACAGAGTGGCGGAAAAGTCACTTTACCGTGAAACAATAGAATATCTAATTACACTACGGCTCAATCAAACGGGCTGATTTTTTTCCCAAGGATAGAGGCATGTTCACACTCCAAATTCATTCGGACAAAATTAGTTAAAATCTTTGTTAAGTATCACTATTGGTCTCAAGAAGAAAATTTTACTTTTTCACCGATAGGAAAAGAAATAAATATACTTAACAAAGGTTGTCACTAAACTTATCCATATGAATTTGGAGTATGAACATGCCTCTATCTTTAGTAAAAAAAAATCAGCTCGTTTGCTCGAGTCGTAATGGAGATATTCAATTTTCTTTTCGATAAAGTAAATTTTGCACTATCCTGTATATTTTATTCCTATCTGCGAGAAACAAAAATTTTCTTATTGAGGTCAATAGTAATGCTTAACAAAGATTCTAATTAACCTTGTCCGTATGGATTTGGAGTGTGAACATGGCTCTATCCTTGGAGAAAAAAGTAAGCCCGTTTGATCGAGCTGTGGTGTAATTAGATATTCTATTGTTTTACGGTAAAGTGACTTTTGCGGAACCCTGTATATCCATTTTTTTCTAAAACATAAATGTATATTTGGAGGTATAGATAAAGTGAATTAGGACAACACAACATAAAGATACTAAAAATTTAATCTAACCGTTATTAAATAAAATCATAAATACGATAAATACATCAACGTAAGTATTTTGCATAAAAGTACTCTATTCGATTTCCCACTAGGTTCCAGAAATTCGACTAAAATTGTATGGTTTATCATATAATAATAAAGAAAACTACTTCGATCAAATAATAATCGTTAGTCACGATATTTATATAGTAATGAAGTTCTCAGGATTGAGTCTGAGTAAGGTTTTGAAGATCTTTCGATATTGGAAACTCGAAGTGATTTTCATGAATCTTATATGACAAGAGAAACTCATATACCATCTATTATTTATCTTTAGTGCATTTTAGAGTTAGTACGCGACGCAAAATGTCACGCACAGATCGTAATTTAAATTTTAATGATATTTGGATGAAAATATCTGAAGGTCTTGAACATATTTATCGAAATCAAGAAATGTTGCTTGAATCTTATCTGCACCTTTATGCGTAAATATAAGTTTATTCTTCCTATTTTATTTCTATTTCATTATTTGAATCTTTTTATTAAGTGTGGTTTATAATTATTGTACTAATTCTCAACCACAAAGCGATGGATCAGAAATACGTGGAACACTCACTCAAAATAATCGACAAAATAATGTACATGATGGAGTTAATCGTGTTGGTGGAGAACTCTATACCAAATTGAAAAATTATTTAAAAAATTATTTGAAAGAATTATTTGAAGTAAGATTATTTGCTCAAGAGAGTAGTTAATATTACTTAAATTATAAGATTATCAAGGATTTTAATTTAAATCTCTGTAAAAATGAGAGTTTATGCTTTTTTTTTGAACAATCATAATTTTTTTTCTCATGAGGGTCATTCTATAATTAACCATGAAAAGATTGCGAATATCGGAAGAGTATGGTAAAAACATCGACAGTCAAAGTAATGAGATCACTTGTCGCATTCATGTGTAATTCATTCGTTTTTTTTTCATCGACATGTGTTTATCTTGCTTGTTAAGGAGCAAGTAATGTTAAGCCTGAAACTAAAAGAGGTAACAAAGTAACCTATCAAAAATATAATTTATCTTCATGTTGCACTCTCTCATTCTCGATCTTCGGTGATTCTACTGCGACTTGTGACAACTAGTAATATTAATTAAAAAATCATTTTATTTCTAATATTGAGCTACTGTTATTGTTTTTAATGATGACATTTTTATTTTTGTAGAAAGCACGTAATTATCAAGGCAAAAGTTTACTTCATTTCTATATCACAAGCATGGAGAATTATCGATTTTCAAGTAAAGTAACAAACGGCTTTTGCCACTATCTGAATCGACATTGGGTACGACCAGAATATGATTCAGGAAGAAGAGATGTTTATGAAATTTTCACCGTAAGTAAAGTTACATTCTTTATCTTTTCAAATTAATTATAAAACTAACATAATTTTAGATGGCGATGGAAATTTGGAAACTTGTGTTGTTTCAACCATTGCAAAGTCAACTAACATCAGCATGTCTTCAATTAATCAATGACGAACGTCAAAATGAAATTATTAATACTCGATTTATTCGTGCAGTTGTACAAAGTTATAGTAAAGATCAAAATTCTTTTTTTTTCTTAAAATTTAAGTTGAAAATTTTAGTCGAACCTGACTTAAATGAAGATTCATTTGTACCAAATTATAGTCATCAAAAGACATCTCCAACATTGAAAATGTATAAAGAGTACTTTGAAGTACCATTTCTTCAAAATACAGAACAATTTTATCATCAGGAAGCAGCTAATTTTCTTTTTCACAACTCTGTGATAAAATATTTGAAAAAAGTTTCCAGCTTTCTTTTTATAGAAACAATAAATAATCTAATCTTATTTATATCAGGTAGAACAACGTTTTCAAGAAGAAACATATCGAGTAGAATCGTATTTACATCCATCAACATTAACACCATTAATGAAAAATCTTGAACGAGTACTCATTCATGAGCAAGTTGAAGAAATCTATACTCAAGCAAAAGCACTTTTACACGTTGAAAACTATTCAGGTATATAAACAAAAAGGTGAGACGGAATTTCGCCAATAAGAATTTCGCCAACGGAATTTCGACAGTGTCCATTTTCCAGTGTAATTTCAAAATTTTTCGAAATTCCACTGGCAATTCGACAATATTGTCGAATTTCCG